ATCCCTGAAAGCCGGGACTTTCCCGGCGATCGTCGCGACGACTCGCGGAAACGGTGTAACAAATAAATCAAGACACCCGAGCCGACGTTCGCCGGTTGTTCATCAGCGGGGTCGTTTATTAATATCCGCTCGTCGATCACGGCCCTGCCGGCCAATAAGACGCAGGCGAGCGTGTTCATAAATCTCGCGGGGGCCGTCCGGCCGAAGCGCGGTGCGCGCGCGATATTAATTAATAACATTAACGATGAATAATAACGGCTAACGTCCGCGTTAAAATCTGGGTCAGCCTCGTCGTAGCCGGGAACTCTCGCGTTCCCCGCGCCACTGGTCGGGCGTAATTTTCTTGCTCCTCGGGTTTACTCCCCCGTGGGGTTAGCTACGGCCGCCTCTACCCTTTTCCGCTCGAAATAATTAATATACAAGGCACAGGAGAGCGATACGGGGGCGGGTGGGATTTCGGTCCAAGGCAGCCTCCGCGGAAACCTCTTTCCGGGAGACCCGGCGAGACCCATGAAGTGCTAATGCGCTTCCGTAAAGACCTGTCGACCGACCCGACCAACCCGTTCATAAAAAATGCACGCGTACAGCACCGACCCTTCGCCGCGTATCGCCTCGAATCCGTTTTTCTCTCGTGAAAACCGAAACGTGCGAACCTTTCGATATACGGGGGACGACTACCCGAAGCTGGATTTTCACCCGTGATTCTCCAACGAATCAGTTTCCCGAGGAACGAACCTTAGTACGCTGGTGTTCCCGTTCGATTGTCAAAGTTTCGACCGGTCGAATCTTTGTTTCTATGGAAAGAACGACCGATATTCTTGAAACGAAACACAACGAATGCATACGGTATAGCCGCGCCCGGTTTCCTTTCTTCTCGAGAAGAAGGGAAAAGATTCGCGTGACGCTTTTCCGGGGGAAACGAATGAACCGGACACGGGCGCGTATCACGCGCGCGGCGGCGGCTTTCCTCCCCTTTCTTTTTCGCTCACGCGACAGGATCAGGCTCGCCATAAATTCAACGGCACAAAGAGAAACGAAACTCAAGAAGGCCACGATGCTTTATGTTTCGCATCACGCTACCGACCGATAACATTAACGAACCGATCCCCGTTCCCTGTTTCTCTATCCGCGACGGTTTTCCACCCTCCCGAACGTCAGGGATGAAAGTTATCGTCCCGGCCGCGATCCCCTCGCTCTCTCCGGCAACCTTCGCCTTCTTTCGCCGGATTCTCCGTTCCGTTTTCCCGCGGAACGATCTCCTCGCCCTTTCCCGTCCTCCCTTTGGCCCACTTTCCCTCCTCGCGTGGCGACGCGCAGTGTCCATTCGACACGCTCCGATTTCTTACGACGCTCTGGATACATCTCTATCGGCGGCACGCAATTATCGCGCCCCGGCACGCCGCGGTTTTTAATTATCCGCTCGCGTGACAGCTTCGACCGGGACGGCCCTACGGAATCCGCCGCGTCACGATTGGCCCTTTGTGCTCCGGTTCAGCGACGCGAGGCCCCGTTCTTTCTCCGAAGGATCTCCTTCCTTGATTAATCGTTTCCAAGCGGCCGATGGCGCACGGTAATCCGTAAACGTCGCGGCTCTTCGTGCCCGAACGCGTCGCCCGCGTTTTTCTTCGGTTCCCCGAACAGCACCCTCGCTCGAGCGGGAAGGTGGCCGGTGGATGCGGGCTTCCGTAACGCTTTCCGTTCCAGCTGCTCGATAACGACCCGACGGTTCGCGTCGCGGTCGCGCTATCGGTCGAGAGGCGTATCGGACCGTCGCGAAAGTTCCTCTCGTTTGATCGATACGCACCGCGCGCGGAGCGTCGAGCGTTTCGGGGAACGTTACCGGATCGCGTCGCAGCCATTCCGGTCTATTGTTAGGGGGCGATCCGACATTTCCGTGACCGCGATCCTCGCACGCGAAGCGTCCCCCGACGGCGGCCGCGTCCGGGGGAGGAAGACGAGCGGCGACTTAAACGAGCCGCGAGTTCCTTTGACGCGCTCGCGGACCACCCCGGCTTTCGCTGAAAGATTCACGAGGCAACCGGTGTTCGCCGGTTAGCTATTCACGCCGGCAAACGGAGCGGTCCCGGAGACGCCGCGCACAGCTGCGGACCGCGTCGAACTCGCGCCAGAAAGAGCGGCCACGATTTTCATAAGGCTTTATTGCCGCGCTGGCTGTCGTCGTTACCGTATCGCCGAGGGCCGAGAGGCCCGAGAGGGAAGAAAGAGAGGCTTAAGCACTGACGACAGTTTGAGAGATCCTCCCGGTATCCCGTTTGCGGCTAATGTACCGTCCCCCGGCCTCTCCCCTCGCCCCGGCTCCTTTTCTTCTCGAGTCGCGACTTCCTCGCCGCGGGAAACCCGCGCCCACCGCGTTTCGAGGAACGTTTCCGCGTTTTTCCCTCCTGGCAGTAGCAGCACGCGTCTCTCTCGCTCCCGCTCGTCCGCGTTCTTTTCATACGTCCTCCCCTTTTTTTCGCTCCTCCCCGGGTTCCTTCGCTCCCTCTCAACGCCAGATGCTACTAACTGCGCCCTCCTCTGATGAGATCCTCGTCTCCGCTCCGGCTGTTCTGCTTTCTTCCACCCTGGGCTCCTTTCTACTTAGCCGTCTTCGCGAGCAAGGGCTGAATTCTGACGCGCGACGGAGGCGGCTCTTCAGCCCAGACCGATCGAACGTGCGAGACGCGTTCGACGCGCGCCCGTTCGCTCCGAAGCCGAGCGCCGGTGCTCCCCGTGTTTGCGGTTGCTTGCGCGCTCCTCCGGCAACTTACCTTTCATTACGACGATTGAGCGACCGTGTCCCTCGAGAGCCGAACGACGACGCTTCAAAGAGAGCGTGCCTCCTCTTCCTCGAGGAAATCGCGATCTTCCCTCGCGCGCTTACTCGGAGCTGCGGTCGTTCGAGCTTCTACCGGGACTCAGAAGAATAATTCGAGGTGTAACGTAAACTCCCTCGCTGCTTTAACCGTAAACGCAGCCCGGCTCGTTGGTAGAAGGAAACAGGGGAAGTGGGACAGGAAGGGGGAGAGAGAGGGAAACGGACCGATACGCGACACCGCAGCCCCGTGATTTAAGTCTCCGCGGAATTAGCAGGGTGGCCCCATTAAGCTCGGCCCGGAGTCGGGCAACCTCTCGTTGACTCTTTCCGCGGCGCGCGGCGAGCGAAGAACCGCGGCTGAAAAGTATTCCGTGGTTGACCCCCGGTGACCCCCTGCACACTATGAATTGCTCTTAAAGCCGAGCCTCGACCCGTATATTAACCTCTGTTTTAATTAATCACCCGGCGGTGTGCGCGGCGACCGGCTGAATTTCGCGGCCGTTATTGCCTCGGCCCCGGAATTCCGTCGGTTGAACCCCTATTTCGGCCTGTTCGCCCCTCTTTCCCGCGTTTTCCTCACTTTTCCCGGCGGAAATTTATTCCGCGCCGGAAACTGTTTATGCGATAAGGGCGGCCGATCAAATAACGAGAGTATTTATCGCGGCCGGCAACGAAAGGCCGATTCATCGCTCACCCGGTAATTGACACGGTGAAACGCGGCGACTGCTGTCCGTCCGTACGTCCGTCGGTTCGTCCGTCCTGTCGTCGGTGTCCGCGCGGACGAGCCGTGACGCGGATGCAACGCGCCGCTATTTGTGCACGGGAGGCGCGTGTCCGCGCGAGCTTTCGACGGTAATTGTTTTATGCCGTTTCCTCCGGGATCGCGGCGTTCGCGCGGCGCGTCTCGCGTGTCGGGCGTCGTTAGATCGTTCCAGATATCCCGGCTCCATTGAAATTTACTGTTAGCGTCGCTTTAATGAGCAACCGCCTGCAGCTGCTCCGATGGAGCACCGCGGCTTTCGCCTGTAATTTCAGCTGATATTCGGCGACGGAATATGACGGGCGAAAGAGCCGGTTGCGACCGACGAGCGCTGTTTACAGCTTTCCCCGCGCGTCTCTTTCGAAATGCCCGTTTCAGCGTTTCTATTCGACAGTCGCCCAGACGACGAACATGCTTCCGCGAATAATTGTCGAGTAAATCCGTGTATTCGCACGGATGCGTCGACGAGAGCTTCGAATCTCGAGGATCGTGCACCGGTCCCCGAGTGGATGGAAAATTGTACGCGATTCCGTTGCACCGTAGTTTTAGCGCCGAAGGAAAAGAAGGCGGCGTGGCCTGCTCCGAGCGAGAAACTTGTCTGGTTGTTCGGCGAACGAGTGCGAGAAACCCATTAGCCGGGTTGATCGAAACACGGAATGAAGCTTGGAGCGGCAAACGCCCGGTTCGCACGGCTGTTAGCCCTGTAATCCGAGACCGGAGGACGGTTAATTCCGGACGATCCGTCCGCGAATTAATTCCCTCGTATTCGGGGCTCGAACTTTCGGGTCCTCCGCTCCGTAGAGAGGCGAGACACCGAGGAAATACGAGCGCGTCGGTCCGCGACGCGCGCTTATCAATCTTTGACGGATCAAGAGGCGCGGCGGGGCGCCTCGTGGCCGCCGCTTAAGTCCACGGTATCCATTAAACTCTCGTCAGCCGCGGCGCTGCGTGCCGGCTATGGACTTAACCAACTTTGATGGAACTTTTCCTCCTCCAAGGAAAATTAGATGACGCGAAAGTAGTTGCCCGCGCGGACGGAGAACGCCGCGAGACGCGGTACCGGCTGACGTTGGATTATGAATATTTCATTTTTTTGCCGAAACACCGGCTGCTCGGATGTTCCGCGGCACCCGACTATCGTTCCGATCGACCGCTCGCTGTTTCGTATCGGTTCTCCGTGGAGGATTGCGCGAGATTCCGACGAATTCGTACGATATCTCGATTAACGCGTTAATCGCATCCGAATTACCGAGCGACTCGCTCGATCGAGTATCGACGATCGTTCGTATACATCCCTGGAGACTCGCGGGTTGCGTAACGCGACTTCCGAAGACGTAAGAAAATCGCGCGGCTCGCCACGCGTTCGAGATAAACGTTGAATTCTTTAGGATGCCTGGATTGATAAGAACGTGTTTCTGTTCGCAGCTGTCGGAGCTCGAGCAGCGGGTGCTGGAAGCGGAGGGCCGAGCCGACGAGGCGGAGGACAAGGTGAGAATAAATTATAATCGCGCGGGTTCTCGCAACCGAGCCTGCTCGGACGAAACGGACGCGTTTCGCAAGGCGGCGAACAATTTTCCATTTATAATCGAGCCGCGTTCTTTCGACATCGCGTCGGTTGACCGGTCGCTGGAAACGCGCGGTGGCGAGCGGCGAGACCGAGGAGGATCGGAGCCGCGTGAAAACCGCGCGCGGCCGGTTGCGACACCGTTCCAGATCGGTCGGCCGATCCGCTCCAAGTAATCGCGGGTTGGCTCGCAATTAACGGGACACCGGTGACGTTGGTTAACGCTCGGCCCCCGGACACATCAAGGATAAATAATTAATTTAGCGAGTGGTAACGACGTTACACCAGCAGACCGACTGCCGTCCGCTTTAACGACTCGCTCGCGCGTTCTCTCGCTGGGTGTTAAAGCTGCAACTGCCGGCGACCGAATCGACGCGTTCTCTCGGAGAAATCGCGAGGGTGCATTCGTCGACTGGCGTATCGCCGAATTAATTTATCCGGTAATTCCGCGGAAAACTGCGTCCGTTCGATAATCGTAAAATTGGAAACTCGAAACGGGGTTGCCGGTTCTACCGGTGAATCGTCTTTCATCGGCCCCGACGTCTCTCCGTCGCTCGGCCTCGAAAACGCGCTCGCGTTTCGCTGTTTCCAATTAAACCGTTGATTCATGGGCCGTTTCCGATCCCGCGGAACGATCGCGAGAGCCCGACGATCTAATAAGCGGGTCGCCGGTTTAACGGGCGCTCGCGATTGCCTCCCGTAATCGATTCTTCCCTCTGTGCTCGACGAGAGTCTCTCGTTTCACGCGGATAAAAAAGAGAGCGGAGGGGTTGTTCCGCGCGCTGAGAATCGATACTGCGTTACCGACCCGAGCACGAGGGTTGCACCCCGAAATATAGGTCGTGTACCCTCCGCCGAACTGTTCATCGATCTTCGCCCTGGTCATCCACCCCTTACCGACAGTCACTCTGCTTTCCCTCGAGCGGTATCCCCCAACTTCGAAACTACGAACCGGCAGCCGTCCGTCAGGCGTCGTCAACCCCTCGAAACTCTGCGATCGAAATGAATTCGCTCTGAACGGTAACGAACTGTCGTATCGAGAATGCAGCCAGCGAATACGTCGATCAACGTTTCGCGCGGATCTCCGAGGATACAGTCGACGAGATAAGCTTCCGACGTGAAATCGGATTACGACCCTTTAATCTCGAGAAACGAGGTCTCGGGAACTCGTTCATGCGATCAGATAAAACGAAGGACGCGATCGATCGATTCGGAAATCCTCGACGACCGGAGATTCTTTTAGCAACGACGATCCACGGTTCCATCCGGTGGATCCCCGAGACCACGAGGAACGATCTTCCAGGACGAGTCGCCCGCTCGGTAAGAGGACTCCGAAGCGGACTCCCGTCGGTATCCGCGCGACCCGCGGCTGCCAGGGCGCATGTTGCGTCGCATTGATTTTTCCTAGGGCGCGAGAAAGACGGGCCACGAGGACTGGAGAAAGACGGTCGGCTGGCTGCTCCGGAAAGGAGAGAATGAGAGGCCACGGGGCGAGAAAGAGAGAGGCGAACAGCGACAATATGGCCGAGCGACCGGCCGGCGAGACCGTCGTTTTGTTATGACCTCGGAATTCGCCGGTGAAGTCGACCGTTTGTGAACCACGCGCGTATTCGGCGGCCGTTCCGCGTCCGCGGCAGCCCCCGGCCATCGTCTTTCCTCGTGATCCGCTGCGAAAGATCCTCCGCGGTCTCGATCACGGGGATAAGATCGCGGGGAAGATCACCTCGGACGCGCAGTCAACGCTCGAACCACCGCGAGTCAAGAATTATGGATCCCTGCAGGTGACATCGATGAAAGGTAAACCGAAACTCGCCGATCCGATCGCTAGCCACCCTTCGTCACGATTAATCTTTCGACCAATTGTCTTCTCTTTCCGCGTGCATCAACGAGTCGAATCTTTTTCGGAAAAGTCTGGATCTTGGACTTTTCCGAATTCCAAGTTTCCTACCATCCGTCTCGGCAGCAAGATTTCCATCGTTTAGATTCGATTGCACTGGATTCAGAGTCGATTACGGTCTCGTTCTCAATGGATCTCAGTAGTCTCGCATCGCGTGCTCCTTGTCTTTTCCTTTTCTCTTCGGCTTCGACTCGTGCCAGTGCACCGCTGGTACTAGAATCGCAGGTTCTCGATCTGTCATCGAGGAATTAGACGGTTACCGGTATCGACAGAAGCTCGGCAACGGGGTGGAACGGAAACCGAGGGCGATTCAGCGTCCGCGGGGCGGCTTAACGACCCGCTTTGACGGGACGTATCGCGTATAGAATTGGCCGGCAGCCAATTCATGAGTAATCCCCGTTTCCCGTGAGCACCCGCGCGACAAACAAAATAAAGGCGCAACGCAGACGATCCTCGCTCGCCGGCCGCGCGTTCCTTTAAATATTTCAAAGCCAGTCGACGACGATGTTGCTCTTTCGCGTCGCCCTTCGCGACCCTGACGGAAACCCTCTTTTAAAAATCGATCCATTCCCCCAGGCTTTTTGTCGAGCAACCGAGTCGCGCGGCCCAATTAAACGATTCGAGGACACGGTAAGTTCGTAACAGTGTACAGCTCCCTAACGATCGATCGTCGACAGGTTGGAGGGTATCGCGAAAGTTCAACGCATCCGAGAGATTTTATTCGAAGAAAACAGACCCTCGAGGATCGAGCGGTTGTCGAGGACTGATCCCAGCCTGCGACTCGGTTGGTTGTAAACGAGCGGCCGACAAACCGGCGCGATTCGTTGATCCGCTTCTCACGCATCCGCCGGTCGTTGATCCATTTAGCCGGTCGGCGCAGCCTCGTGGCCGTCAGATGTTTCTTTTTTCCGCGGCCGGCCTCATCCCCCGAAAGATCGCGGTTGAATGGACGTTTCTGCGTGTACGTGCACGTGAACGGACTCGTTTTGGCGGGAAGCCAGCGCGATTCGACGCCGCGTCGCGAACCGAGGACCGGTCTTTGTCGCGTGCACGCGCACGTGCGCGCCGCTCCGGCCTAAAAAGACGAAGGGACGAGCCTCTGTCTTCGAACCGGATCGTCCCCTTTCAGCCTTAAGAAATCGACGCGTCCCCGTTCAACGTTAGAGCTCGACGCGCCTTCTCTGTCACCGGCAGCTTCCTAATCCTCTCGCCAAGGATAAACTCGCCTCGCGAGGAAAGCTGTCGAGAACAACCGTCGATAAGGAACGAATGAAACGGCAACGAGCGATGCCCGGATCGCGAACTCTCTCTCTCTCCGGCGAGGTTATTCGATTATCCCGTGACGGAGCTATTTCTGGTTTCGCAGCGTTTTGCTTTCAAGCCTGCGCTCCGTGAGAGACGCACGGCGAATCGATAAATCTCCAGATACGGTTCAAAAATCGCCGGTCACGTTCGACGGAACGAACGCTGAACCTCTGTCCCCGGGTCGTCGTCCTCGACGCTTCCCGTCTCTCTCTCTCTCTCTCGCTCTCTCCGGCTCCCACGAATTCCTCTTTCCCGGAGGAAAGAGTGTTCGAGACCGAGCGCAGGTCTGCGAGTAGAAAATAGAGAAAGAGAGAGGGTGAGAAAGGGAAAAGAGAAGAGGAGATCGATGAGTCCCGATGACGCCGTCCTCGGGACAACCTCCTGTTCGTCGCCGATCTTCTTTCTCCCGTTCTCGTCCGTTCTCCCTTTGTATCATAGATTCTCGGAGAGAGAAAGCGAACGAGGAACGTCGTCTAGGGGTAGCGGCGACGTCTCGCATAGTTCCTACGTCTCCCGAACGATCTTCGTCGCGGCGTCGGGCTCTCCTCCTCCGACCACTGAGATCCCCCGGCGAAAGAGAGAGAAAGTGCGGCGGAAAAGTTGTCGAGGGGGTAGCGGCGACTGTCTCGCAGAGTCCGTGCGCCGGCTGTCGGAGCCTCTGCACGCGGGGCGGGCGGTTGTACACACAGGAGCGGAGCAGTCCGCAGGACCTCTACGAATTCTGCCATTGGCCGCGAGCCAACGTGACTCATCGCCTCCGGGAAACGGCCGTCGGAGAGGAGAGTTTACGTGCATCGGTTTCGGTTCAGTTCGGTTCGATCTACGGTATCGTGCGCACCGTGCCGCCCCTCTTCCCGACAACCCCTGGGCCAGCAGCTTGGTTAGTCGGTCGGCTCGCGACGCGCGTGACAAGGGAAACCGAGGCGGAGGACAGGCTTTTGGGAGTGTCCTCGAGCGCCGGCGACCAAGGGTTTAAAGGGATCCTCTCGGAAGCCACGGATCGGCTATCATGGCCACTCGTAGCCTCG